CTCCAAAGAAACAGTTTTTTTGGAGACGCGATTTCCTGGGGAATCGCGAGACATTCTTTTGACTGCCGGTGGGTTAGATCGTCTGCCTGTCAAAAGTTGGAGTCAGATGACGGGCCTTTTCGACTAAATGTGGTAAACATATTGCTTACTTCCTAGCGCGGAACGACGACGATTTCGCCTTATTGGGCTCTTGGTGGTCTCAGAAGTGTTGCAATATTAGCTGACGTCTCAACCTCTTTGGCAAGTCGTTGGTGAGAGTGGAAGAGACACGTTCCTCTCTGCGACGAACTGCTTGGTCATCCGATCTATCGGCTTCTTTTTTTTTTGGGTAAAAGCTGCTGCCACATTTGGCGACACCCGGCCCATCATGAGGACGGTGGTTCACTTGGGGAACCAAGTCCCTTGGCATATCACAGCGTGATGGTCAAGTCCTCAAAATGACAGAACATAGGTATGGAGAAACATAAAGTGGATATCATTCGTGGGCATCGTAAGTAGGTGAGAAACAACATCATCTGATGTACGAAGAGCATGATTGTATGACGGCCTGCCCTCCCTCTCAGGTCAAAACACAGCACCCTTAAACGCCTTATGCTATGCCGGTAAACAATGAGAGTGCGTAAGCTTCCCATTGTCTGAAAAGAAAAGAAAAAAAGACCGAGCAGACCCAACCTGCCGGGAATGAAGTGAAGCAGAAGAAAGATCAGATGAACCAAATCCCTAACACAAACGAGCCAACAACAAGAGACCACGACGGCGCCTCCACCGTCCCAGCAGCGGCTGCAACACCACCATCGCCACCATCACCCCCTCCGCCGGAGCCGGGCGTACCAGAAACAGTCTGGTTGTTGGTCATATTGGTCTGCTTCGTAAAGAAGAAGTCGGGCGCGTCCGGGATGATACAAACGGCGTCCGGCGCCGTCGGATCCGCGCACCGGCCCTCGTGGTCGGCCTTTCGCGCGTCGAGCGTCGAGTTGAAGTAGGCCCTGACCGACGCCACCGTCAAGATGGCGTCCTGCTTGGGCGGGCCCCCCGACCAGAGCGGGTTGCCGTTGCTCCAGTGCTGGAGGATCAGGTGCCCTCCCTCCGTGGGCACAGCGCTGCCGTTCATGGAGCCCAGGATCTTGCCGTCGGCGTAGAAAGTGACGGCGTTGGGGAGGTAGTCGATGCGGTACTCGTGGAAGGATGCGGTTGGGTCGAAGCCGAGGTTGACTTTGAAAAAGTTGCCTGTGCCGGCGGCGTTGTATCCCTTTTCGAGTGAGGCACGGGACTGGAGGACGATGTTGACGGGGTAGGTGTTGTTTGAAGAGTTGAATTCTCTAGTAAGGAACTCCATGTCGATCTCTTGTGTGTCGTTGTGATACTGTTTCTGGTGTCAGTGAACTTGCTTTCAGTTGGAAAGGGGCGCACGGGGGGGGGGGTAATGGCAACGTACCCAGAAGAAGGCAGCACACGTCCCAGCAACATCCGGAATCTTCATCATTGCCCTAAAAGAGCCGTACTGCACATCCTGACGCGCCGAGTCGACCTCCGCGCCCGGCACCAGGCCGTTCGTCGTGGCGCTCTCGACGAGCAGCTGCAGGCCGGCGTCCGCCTTTGTCGAGCTGAGCCCGTACGAGCTCGACCCTTCGTGGACGGAGGCGACGTTTTCCGTCATGAACTTTTCTCCCAGGGGCCCGCGGGCGTTTGTGTTTGTCTTGTTGAACTCTTGACGGGCCCAGTCCGTGTTGTTTGTAATGTTCTTGACCTTGGTGAAATCGGTCTCGATGAGGTCGCTGAAGACCTCCATGGTGCCAGTGATGTTGGTGGCATATCCGCATTCGCAGGCTGCGCGTGCAAGTGAGGGAAGCCAGCTAGCCACAAGCAGGCACGCTGCTGCTGTAGGATTCCTCATGGTGATTTGTAACGGGAGATGTGTGTATAAATAAAGCGGTTGTAGGCAAAGATTATTGGTCGTTGTGGATCGTGTAAGTGACTTGGGTTTGCGAATATCTCTACCACTGCCAGAGTAGTACAAGGAATCCAAAGTTTTTGACAGAGAATTAGAGCCAGTCCGAGCACGCCTGTGACACAGTCAAGACATGCAGAGAGGCCAAGGGATGACAGGATGCGGGTGAAGCAAAGGATGGCGCTCAGACGGGGTGAGTGACGACGGGGGCGAGTGGAAGAACAGACGAAGCAACGGGCGCACACAGGATGGAAGACAACAACAACATCAACAACAAAAGGATGAGCAGTCAGATACAAGAAACGAAGGATGGGGCAGGATCATCGGTTGACTATGTAGTAGCTCCAGAGAGTGGAGGGCCACGCAGTGCAACCAAACCTATCGTGCCTGAGCCTCTGGCTGGACGGGGTGCTTCATCTACGGAGCCGAAAATACAACCCTCCCCTCGACTTGCCCAATGTAGGTATCCATCATACACTCACTCGACCACCCCCTAGATGGCCTGGTCCACAGACGGACTCGAAGTCAGGAGCACCAGGGAGGAGGGGGGGCTGGCACAAGGGCAAAGGCAGACAAAGGAACAGCCTCGACGTTCGAACATAACGGCATCGTTGTCAACCGTTGCTCAAGTGGAGGAAAGCAGGAGTTCACAGTCAAAGATTTTCCATGTGGCCATGACTGACCGATGGTGTCTCAACCTTCCCGTCCGCCATCACCGCGATACCAGAAGCGGCTTTGAAACGCAACGCGGGTAAGAATAGGTTCGTATGGGACAAAGAAGGGACTTCGCTGGTAGGAACGGGTAGAGAAACTTCCAGAGAAGGAGAGAGAGAGAGTGTGTGTGTGTCTTCCCCGTCCAGATCTCTTCGGGTTGGGCTGGGTTGGATTTTTTCGTTCCGCCGGCGGCGGCGGCCAGCCACATGTAGTGTTACGTCGTGTCGCCTCGACGTCGTATCGTGTGCCCTGCAGGAACCCGCGCAACACACCGTACCCTATCTTGGGATTGGACGGATCATAGCGTACCGTAGTAACACTGGAGCACTATGTCGGGCTTGGAGACAAGACCAGACAAGCTTTTCCCACTGCCGTCTCTCTCACACTCTCTCTAGAGTATAGGCATGGGCGGGGTGGGTGAGAGGCCAAAGCCACTAGGTTAGAAAACCCCGCCGATGGACTGCCGGCTGTCTCAGAGAGCAAAAGACAATGAAAAGCAGCTCCCTTGGCCCATTGGTTCCAAAATGCTCCGTCGAAAATTCATGGGCGTGCCGTCTATTGAGTGCTTCGATGCCTCTTTGCCTCTGATGCCCCTCAGCCAGAGGCTTCCTTCTCTGGGGCTACAGTTCAGCTGTTGGAGGCTCAGCATATCGTGGAGTTCATGAAGAAATTGTCTGGCCGCCACTTTGGCTATGTCAAATTCCACCTCGTCCTGATCCACCTTACTCGACTGTTGCGCCACCAGGCTCTTGTACGATAGACGGCCCTCACACAGAAATTGGCCGCTTCTCGGGGAAACTGAGTAACAGTGCAGTTGGGATGCGGTTGGCGAGAACATCCGAGTTGAGAATGTAGAATGGCACAGAAGCATCGTAGCTGCACTTGCGCAATTCCCATTAGAATGTCAAAACACGATAATGTAGACAGGATGTCATCGTGATATCCTCCATCAAGCAGCGCCTAGAAGTCCATCACCAACATCTGTCAAGGAACGCTGTCTGGAGGGCCTCGCCCAATCCTACTTCCTCCAGAATTATCGAACGAAACCCATGGCTGCGCTGGCTTCCCGCAGTACGCCCGCTGGTCTCATGGACACTCCGGTCTCAACCCCCCAAAACTGCCCATGAGCGTCCAGCCCCGACTCCGCTCAACCTACCTCATCCTCTCTTTGTTTGTGGCTCACGCTCAACGTCAAACTCGGGCTTCTTTGTCACCCAACTACCTAGACTTCTTCTGGTGAGGGGGAAAGGCCCTCTAGCGCGGATGGTGGAATGTCTGACGGAATGTTAAAATCAAGCAAAGGCGTAGGACAACACATAAATACCTGTGTCGCCTCACAGGAAAGCTAAGCATATAATGCCAATGAGAAGTGATATTCTTAAAATATGCTTAACGAACAGGAAATTATTTATACACTTGTGCTCAAGAACCAGCTCCACACTTTTCCTCTCTCTCTCTCTCTCTCTCTCTCTCTCTCCCCTCTCATTAAGCCAGACTTGGTCTTTCTCTTATCGAGTAGACACCACCAAGCCAGCCGTGCTGAGCAAACCGTCTCCCATACAATCCGCTCATGCCAAGACAAATTTACACAGCAGACGATCAAATCAGAGTAGACGTAAATTCCAGGATAAGCAAATACTGCAATCTGTATATCGAACAAGGTATCTGAGCAAAGCGAAGCGAAAGATAGCAATGATAGGAAACAGCGTATAACAAAGCAGGAGAGAAAACAGAGTAGAGATCAACAAGCAGACGCAATATCAGCAGAGGGAAAGGACGAAGGAGATAAGAAAGATGAAATGGATATCAGCAGCACAAAACATTAGTATGAGCTAATAGAACAAACGCGCAACAGTCATCACCAAGCCCACCCTGGACCAGCCAACAGTGCCCTGAGGCAGTCTCTGGGATGCTTGAGCAGGGCCCGAATTATCCCAATATCCTAGGGTTGCTTTACCCAGGAATCCGTGCCGAACCCAATGCCCCCCACCCTTCACCGTTTACCTGCCCCCGTTGTTGCCGTGACCATGTCCAATGCTGGGACGCTCAAAAGGAAAACCAAGCCAAGGAAACAAGTTACTAAATGACCAGCTGAGCAGGCCGGTATACGCGTAATAATCATCCCAAAATTTAAAAACCTCTCTTCTGTGACGCCTGTCCCCTGCAAAGTCAAGGGGAAAAGCCTCAGACCGAGAGGGAGTGTTCAATGAACCACTCCAGATCCGTTACGCCGTGAATCAACCCGTCAGACGAATAGGTATATGCCAAGGAGAAAAAAGCGCAAGGAAATAACACGAGAAAAAAAGAAGACATAGGAAATCGTTCAATCATGTTGCAACTAGTACACGCTGTCCTCATCGGCCCCTTGTGAGATCATCGAAGGGGTCGATACGCTCGAGGAAGCTTCCATTTCGACCTGGTAGCCGACGAGTGCTTGCGCGTGCAGGCGGAAGGATTCTCCCATAAGTCGGGTGATTCTGTGAAGTCTTGTTAGCATTGTTGGCTTCTTGTTGAAGGATACTATCACTTACCCCCAGACCACGACCTCGTCCAACATGCTGCCCCACAGACGGGCAACAACAGAGCTAAGCTGGGATGCATAGGCCTCGTCGAGGTCCTTGTCGAAAAGCTGTCGAACCATGTTGTACATGGCCAGTTCCTCCTCTGTGGCTGGCTCCTCGTCATGTTCCAGACGGTAGAGCCAAAGTGAGAGGACGATCATAAGGTCAAGTCCACACAAGGCATGCTCGACGCTCCAGTTTGTTGGCGAAGTTCGTGCAACCCAACGCACACCCTGGACCACGGCAATCTCGATACAGTTGTAGCATTCTTGAATGACTTTGATCATCTCACTAGAGCGCTTCACGCGATCCCGCGCAGCTGACATGGCAGCCGCGACTTCGTAGGAGTCGTGGTAGCGCAGCGCCTCTTGCACGGACTTCAGATCAACTTCCAACCGAGTTCTGGCGTTCCGGTACAAAGCCTTGGCATTGAAGATGAGAGGATGTCCCTTGTGAGGAGCACTCAGTGGGACCGAGACATTCTCAGGCTCGCAGAGCTCGCAGGATTTCTCCCACGTCTCCAGCGCAAGTCTGAGCTTGTACTCGGTCACAACATCCTGAAGTGCCTCGGGGCTGCGCTTGTGGTACCACACTTCGAGGAACAGGGCGTTGATCATTACCCGCGACGCAAACGCGCTGTACCTGAGTGTCTCTCCCTGGAACAGGTTGTCGTGCGCCTCCATGAAAGTGACCACAGGCGACGTCTTCAAATGCTCATGCCAAGAAGCCTCATCCGTGACCTTGAGGTTCCAGAGTCCCTCGGTGGAAGGAAGCTGCAAATCCTCAAACTCGTTGAAGCTGATTGCTGGTGTGTGGTTGTATGTCAAGGTCAGCAGGCCGAAGAAGATGTAGACTGCGTAGTAGGTGCGCCGGCAACCTTCATCCTCGATCCACTCGTTGCGTGTAGGTTGAGGACTAGTACGGGCTTCCTGACGAAGCTTGAGCTCGTAGCGATTTCCCGCAACCATGTTAGCGAGCAGACTCTTGATTGAACAGGCCCATTCGAGGCCCTTCGGGTCACCACTCCAGCTGGCGAAGATCATGTTGAGAAGCGAACCCTGCATCGTCCACAGAGGACACTTGCGCGAGCTGAAGTTCTCCTTGTTCTGCAGGAACTGGTTGACAAGCACCTTGGATCCGATGTGCAGCATATAGGCCTGGTCCTGGTCAAACGCATAGAGTGCACCAATGCTCAGCACTGCGAGAAGCAGAGCCGGAGAGACCTTGGTGGAGTCGAAGGATGCGGGATGCAGGAACGGGAGATGATGGTGGAACAGTCCGAAGTACGTCGACAAGAATCGGTTCAAGGAGGCCAGGTTGGGGAGGCGGAAACCATCGGGGATAGCATGCTCAGTGTCTTGGGCGCGGATGTTGTCGAGAATCTGGTTGCGCTCATCGTCACTTGCAACCTGAGGGGCCCGGAATCCGGCAGTTGACAACGTCGCCTCGGTGACGAAAGGGCTTTGCGGCACAGGCGTACCAGCTTCGGAGTTTGGCAATGAGTTGATCATGGACTGCAGCGCCGGGACGAGGCCGTTGCAAGTCTGTCCGTTGATGGGCGGAAGCTGAACGTTGCGAGGCTGCATGGTGCTGGTGCTGTTGAAGGACTGCTGAGATTCGAACGAGCCAGATGCTGATGATGCAATGGAGTGCGCCTTTGCTTCTGACGATTGAGATATGAAGCTCTCCCACTGCGGAACAGGAATGGCGCCTGAGGGGTACGTGGCAGACGAGTCCATGGCATGTGGCGAGTAGGGCATCGATGGACTGCCCCCTGCGCGTGCGCCGGCGGCGGCCTTGTGTTGAAAGTCTGCAACCAGCATGGCAGCTGTCTCGAGGTCGAAGGTGCCATCGTGAGAGGCGGCTTCAATCTGATCTATCGCGGACTGGTCAAGCATGGGTGTCTTGGCCGGGCCGCCGATGGCTCTCGTCTTCGGGCCTGAACGTCTCTTGCCATCGCTGTGAAGAGGAACGCCTCCATCTTTGGCGTGCACGGTACGATCGTGACGAAGGAGAAGATCGCGTCTGACAAAGGTGCTGCGGCATTTCATGCACTTGAAGGGGCGCTCTTTGGTGTCTAGTAGAAGAAGTCAAATTAGCAAAATGACTAGATAAGAACATGGCTGGACGCGAGTATTGCTTTGCGGCGAATTGTTGTCGCATGATGCATCGAAGTAGGGTCGGAAGGAGGGGTTGCTTAGTGTCGCGAGGGGTTCCCAGTCGAGCGGAAGCTTTGAGATGTAGGAGGAGGAGGGGAGAAGAGGGGTTCCGAGAGAATAGGTGCACTTACGGGATCGTTCATGTCTGCTGCGGTGCTCACTTCTGCTGAAGGCTCGGTTGCAGAACTGGCACTTGTACTTGCGTTCGGGTGCGAGTGAGGCTTTCCGTGAGGCCGGCGTCGATGATGTTGACGTCGGAAGGACTGCGACGCTTGCGCCAGGCATCTTGAAGGTGCGGGTGGTGGTCGCGTTTTTTGAAGATATGTCGGGTGGCTGGGCCAGCTGCTGCGACGGCGACGGCTACTGCGACTGCGACTGCGACGACCAGATGTAACGACTTGGACGATGTGCACGACGGCTCTCTTGTTGTTGAAAACGATGGTTGAAATCGCCCGGCTCCTAGGGTTTCCTCCTCGCTCGGCGCGCTCCCGTGGAGTTTAAAGTGTGTCTTGATTAGACTGGTAGATGTTGCTGGTCATTTGGTTCGATATTCTGGTCATAGGAAGGACGTATGTGTGGTTGAAGGGAAAAAGCTGGCAAATAGCCAGTGTTGAAGCGGCGTGTCTAGAGGCGACAGGCGCGCTTGAGTGGTGATGATGGGCCGGGAAAGGCGAAGAGTGCGCGCGTTGTTGGAGATGGATGATGATCACGAGAGTGAGAAAGAAAAACGGAAGAGGGGGGAATCGAGGAAAAAGTAGGAGGGGAGAAGAAGAGGAAAAGAGGCGTCTCTGGTGAGAACGGTGGGGACACTGGACTGCGACAGTGGGAGGGACTTGGTGTATTGGAGGGGGTGGGCACATTGGATAGGAGGGGAGGGGGGGGGGAGAGGGAGCGCAAGAGAGCAAGAAAGAGAGGGGAGGGGGGGGGGCAGACAGGGCGTTGAGAGAGAGAGAGAGAGAGAGAGAGAGAGAGAGAGAGAGGGGAGAGAGAGCCCTGACCGGGAGGACGACGATGGCCCCCGAAGCTGGAAAAGTGATACCTTGAACGAAGTACCTTTTCCCCCCGTCTCTTGGGTGTTCTCTCCCGCCTCACCTATGTGGAAACAGGCGGGAAAGAGGCGGGCAGCAGCAAAGTTGCGTGGTACGTACTGCCGGATGTCTTCTATCGATGGTTCTCTCCCAGGTGGGTAAATACCTGAGGGGAGGTACTTAGATAGCTAAGGTGGGAAAAGTTGAGGTGGGTTGGGTACCTCAGCTAGCTGATCAGACGTACCTAAGGTGATGTACCTAAGGTGTGAGGTTCCTCAGGCAATCAAGCAGCAAGCACAGGTAAGGAAGGTCGACGGAACAACCTAAGAGGTACACCCGGCTATAGGTCTTCCCTTCCCTCTTTTTTTTTATTTATCTTTATTTATTTATCTTAATCCAAGCATATTGGACCCCACTGCGACTCGCTGAGAGATGGATGAAGGAGGGGGAGGAGTGGGAGGGCGCTGCACAATGCACACATCACAGAGAGGGGAGGACGGACGGGAAGGGAGGGATTAGGAAACTGGAACGGGCTCCATTGTTTGTTCACCGGGCCACCAGAACAGCAGAACAGATCCGACCTGGGCCTGCTGGGCCTGCTCCATTAGAATGAGCAAGGGAGGGATGTGTGAGTTGGGATTCGAACTTGAAGTGCGGTGCTGGGCCATGGGCCTGCTGGCCGAGGATGTGGTGGGGAGGGGGAAGGGGAGCCCTGAGGTGGGAGTGGATGAGTGGATGAGGACCGACCCCCCTGTCGTCTACCAAGCGGCCTGCCAGCGACACAGCAACCGGCAGCCAGCCAACCTGTAACCCCGAACGAGCAGGGCGAGCGTGGTGGGCAAGCCGCAAAAGCAGGTGCACCAGTGACCACTACGCCGTCAGTGTCCACGTCCGCGGCCAGCTGGAGGTCACGAGTGAGTGGGAGTGGAGAGGGGCAACCCGCCACGATACGAATAGAAGGGGGGGAAGACTCGGGAGAAGAGGAGGGGGGCCTCGGCGGCGGTGCTTGCGTTGCTGCGCTGTGCTGTAAGGTTGTTTACAACTTACAGGAAGTTACGATATCACGAACGAACCATCAAAAGGGAGGGGTAAAAAGATGAGAACGAGGAGGGACGGCATGCCAGCTGCTGTACGGATCGACTGTAGAGGTGATGGATTATACTATGGAAGTTACACATCCACTGATTGGCTCTTAGGAAAGGTACGGATACATCTGTCTTTTCATCGGCTTCGGCTTCGTAAAAACGTAGTCTGTCCTTTTTCTCCGCCTCCTCTTTTCCCTTCCTCACGTCTTCTTCCACTGCGCCTCTGCTGCTCCTTCTCCTCCTCCTCCTTCTCCTCCTCCTCCCCCTCCTCCTCCTGTACGAAGTACTACGCAGTAAACAGTAGCTGCACTGTCATTCCATGTAGTCCCTGTCGTGTTGCTGTTGCTTTCGCTGTCGTTGTGTTCGTGCCTTAGGTCAAGGTTAACCGAACTAAGGTACACGGGTACGTAGATGGACCAGACCGATGCCGCTGCAATGCTGTTGGCACCAATGCACACTTGCACAGAGAAGGCACGCTGCACATGCTACCCATAAAAATAAAACCACTCCGAGCAGGGGAGGTACGTACTCCACAAGGTACCCTGTCCAGGCCGTCCTCCTCACTTTCACAGCAGATGACGGGAGGTAAGGTTCAGGTCGGTTAGCCAATTCTGGCTCCATACTTACGTCTTTCTACTACCTGTACTGTGTAATCCCCCCAAGTGCCTGCTGCGCTGTTATGTCAGAGGCGGAATGCAAACACGCTTTTTTCAGCTACCTCCCCTATTACGGATAGACTGTTAGGGAACGGGAAGGGAGGGCCGGAGCTATGTAAGCAGACACCGACGATCCCACTTCGAAGTCACTCTCAACCGTGAATTTGCCCACTAGATACTTCTGGACACACTTTCATCCTCTGCCACTCTGCATCACGCAGGGCTTCTAACTTCAGCTCCAACATCCAGCTTCAGCTTCTTATTCAGCCTTCAAATGTCTCAGTTCAATTACAGCACGAGTCGACAGGAGTCTAAAAGTATTCCATAACAATACATTGCACCTCGCCCCATCATATTCATGACCGAGGACCAAGGTCACCAAACCTCCGAGCCAGCTCCACGATCCATCCGACTACAAGTAGACAGCGCAATGAGTTTGCCTTTGTCCAATCTCCATCAAATTTCTCGGAACCATGGAGGTATGCATTATTGTGTCCGTATAGTGCCCTCATCTCGTCTGACACAAGAGGCGAGGAATCTGACTGGGTCGTGTGTCGCGGCTCGCCATCACCATTACCATCGCCATCCAAGACAATCTTAGGGGTCAAGAGACAAACGAACGGATCGGGGCAAATACCAACCACTCGAGCTCGAGAGGGAGAACAATTCTGCTCTACTTGTATGGATATTGACGATCACCTTACCATCCCGCTGGACAGCGCATCCGTAGTGTCCAGTCATCACTGTCTATCCGTATCGGTTGGCCCCTTTTGCGAACACGACGCGACATGGCACTTTTACAGGATCCAGGGATTGCCAGTAAAAATTTCATCCCCAGACCTAGACCGGGGGGCTCAGCTTTCTCTCGCGGCTGCTAACGATCTGTCTGTCTACATTTAGCAACGAGGATGGATTGCCTCAAGCGCAGAGGCATCAAGCCATTAACAGCCCAAGAACTTCAAGAAGATACTTGAGCTCGCGCAGTGTGCCATACTACTGCACGAAGTATCAACTATTCGTCCCGCCATTGTCATCACCCCAACTGTAGCCACAGCGCTCAGATTTTGTGCCGCGGGATGGTGAAATGGAGCGCACGATATTTGCAAGGCCTGGCACGTACCCGATCCGTCCGGAACACAACTGGCCACTTTCCAGGTGCCCAGTGCCCACAGAAACATGGCAGGGAAAGCCAAAGGGCGGATGGCCGGGTTATGGGACGCTTCAAGGATATTTGCTGGGGTGCGTCAGAACGCCCGGGGGGGCGTGAGCCCGTGGCAAAGAGCCTGTTGACGGTCGAGTACCTACGAAGACACACATATACACAGTAGTGCCCTATACACGACGACGGCACACGGGCTAATGGCAGGCGGCGCTGGCCTTCCGGGCTATTTAGGGGGGGGGGGTTGTTCCCATTCGGGGTGGACTGGACCAAGGCAGTGGTACGCGACGCTAAGGCAAGCACTGATGTGCTGGTCTCAAGTGCCCTAGGCTTGGTGATGGGAATCATCCAGGGACGATGATGTGGCCGGTAGGGTCATCATCATTGAGCTGTCCAGGACTCCAGACACTCTAGGCTTCAGGCCAGTCCAGCCAGAAGGAAAAGAGGAAAGACGAGAGGATGAGAGGTGTGCGGTGAGAGACGCAAGTCGGCCAGCTGAGAGGTAAGGTAAGTCAAGATATGCATGGTATCCGCTTCACCAGTTCGTCCCGTCCCATAGCTCGCTCACCTTACTAATAATAAGGCATGCAACGACATGACATTGTTGCTCAAAGCAAGATGACAGACGACTAGTCGCTTCGAGTCCCCAGTTGCATGCATCATCTCCATACTGGGCCATGACATAACTATGCTGTTCTGGTTCATCATTACTTGCTTCTGGATCAAGCGAAACAACATGCCTTGCCTACACAAGATTAGGAAGGCGGGTGCTAACAAGCACTGACGTCGCCCAGGTGGCTACCGAGGGAAGTTCGCAGATTACCGTCGCGCAAGAACCCGAGTCTTGAGGAGAGGCGACGTGGAAAAGAAATTGCAGTTACGAACAGCTTCGACTCCTAGCAGCTCGCTGCCCCTCCAGGCCTAGCCTCGCTAGAACCCGGGCCGCCTATTTGGTTGGCAATTTCGCCCCGGCTCCGGAGCTCGAAAGGGAGGACGTGAACCAGGGCGAGCCACGAAGGGCCTGGCTGGCGAAGAAGCCTCGCACAGCTTCCAGAATCCAATGATTCTATCATCCCTTCCCGCGTCTCCGACTCCTCAGAGCACCCCTCATCAGTATGACAAAACCCCCACCTTGCTGGTCATCGGCCCCTCCCCCTCTATCACTGTTTGTGTCATTGAACCGTCTTGCAATAACACTCTAACTCATATCACGTACATGTTACCGATATTCGTACAGAACCATGATGCCTATACGTACTCCGTACGGCCAGCTGCTATTCAATACTTGCCTAGGCTCCATCCGCGCCATGTGAAGCCGGTAGCTGGTCGTGCTGGCCAAGGTTTCGAGGGTACCTAG